TTCATTGAGTACACCTTCTCCTTTAGCATACCCCAGAAAAAGAAGTCCACATGACCACGTCTTCCAATCCAGTTAGGGAAATTGTCATTCAGCCAATCTCTTACCACCGTGGCGAAATGGGCAGGGGCGCCATCCTGCTGGAACCACTCAGGAAGTCCTTCACCTAGCCTTTCAAGTTTGGGCATTAACTGGTCTTTCAACATGGCGAGATAAGTCTCACCAGTTACATGTTCATCGAAGAAAAATGGCCCCAACACATGAGCTTTCCACAAACCGCACCACACCATAATTTTTTGCGCTCCTTGCTGTTTGGAATGGTCTACCCAATGCGGATTGCTTTGCGACCAGTATCGAACATTCTGTCTGTTAACCTCACCATTCTTATAAAACAAAGCTTCATATTTAATCTGTGGATGTAAATAAAACATAGTTAATGTGATTTCCTATGTGTCCAGACTTTAGGGACACCCTGTATAAGACAATATTATGTCTTGCAACTCACTCCTGAAGATGACGTTGCAAAGTCGAAACATGTAGTGTCAACTTTTTAGTGATCGTATATTGACCTTATTTAAAATGTTTTTAATTATGTACCTATTTTAACGTTGTGTGTTATTTATTATTTTAACATTATACACAAGTGCCAATAATTATTAAAACATATAAATGAGATTAATGCAAGTACATCACTTAAACTGATTAAATAATTTATTGATGATTTAATATTGAACTAGCTAGATTAATGTTTAGCTCAAAAAGATATTTCTGTTTAGAAAGAAGCTGAGAAACAATTTTCAAATAAACTCTATAATGTAGTTGATTATTATTTAGATATATAGCAACTAATAACATACTAATAAGGAACATATTACATCAGAGTTTCGGCTTAGGCTTTCTTTTGAGATGTACAGTACACACACAAACTGAAGAGTAAAAAAACTGAATCTTAGTTTTCGCACAATAAAAGCTGAGCTCCTTATAAGTTGTTTCAACCCACTAGTTTCGATACTACAGTTACCATCACCAGGGCTCCTTAATATATCTACATATATTACCCTACGAAACGTCATGGGAAATGGGTAGTTATGAATAAAACATGTCTTTATTCCAAGAAATTAATAGCGTGTTGGCCCGCCTTTGGCCTTAACGACTGCTTCAACGTGTCTTGGAAGACTGTCTACTAATTTTCTGGTAGAAAGCTGGTGGTATTGTGCTCCACTTCTCCTTTAAAGCATTAGTAAGATACACTACTGAAGAGGGCCGTCTTGGCCTTGTCCTAAGTCTGAGTTCCAGTTCATCCCAAAGATGTTCTATCGGGTTGAGGTCGAGGTTCTGTGCTGGCCACTGCAATGTTCTGATGTTATTCTCTTCAAATCACGCATTCGCAATCATTGCTTTGTGACATGGAGCGTTATCATGTTGGAAGGTGTGAAGGTCAGTACCATAAAATTGCCACACACAGAACATCAATGTAGGACTCAACATTCATGAATCCATGCACTGTGACCAATGGGCCTAGTCCATACCACGAGAAGCACCCCCAGACCATGATACCACCACCTCCAAACCTCACTGTTGAGACAACACACTCAGGTAATAAGCGTTCTTCAGGTATCCTCCATACCCAAACTCGTCCAGCAGACTGGAAGAGCGTGTAGCGTGACTCGTCGCTCCATAGGACCGATTTACATGGATACACGGTCCAGGTTCGGTGTACCTTAACCCATGCCAATCGATGGTGTGCATTTGTTTTTGTTATCAACGGCTTGTGGGCTGCAGCTTTTCCGTGAAAATTCATGGCATGCAGCTCTCGACGTGTCGTGGAAACACTTATAGGCCCGCCAGCTCCTGTCAATCGGTATTTTACGCCTACCTGGTCGTTTCTTTTGCTCATTGTCACCTGCGCAATAACCCGTACAGACATTTTCCCCAAATGACATCCAACTATCCTTCCCCTCTGAAACTCTGTTAGCTCTTTCCGTGTACTCATCGTTCAGCTTACAAGTTCAAAATTACTTCCCAGCGAACTTATGATTACCTTTATAGGTCAAACTATTTGCATATTTCGTTTTCACACCCATTTTTCTGCAATCAGAGGTGTGTCCCATGACATTTGGTAGGATAGTGTACTTACTATGTGCACTAGGAGACTTCACTGCAATACACTGTATGAAATGTACGACGCTCGTTGCGTGCACTATCAAAAATATTCCCATGTTAATCAACCAGATGGTATTTTCAAGTAAAACTCCGGCTCAAGCATGCCAACGATTGATAAAGAATGTATTACTTAGTCTAATAAAAGCACAGAATATATATATATATACATTTTACAGAAATTGTCTTTTATTTCGTTACATTTTGGATATTCTGCGGTTAAAATAGAGAAATAGAATGTTAACTAAGATAAATGATAAATGTCTTAACAGTAAATTGTAAAAATTAAGGCAAAATATTCTTAAAGTATAAAAGAACCATTGCTATTCCTTTGCCTCTTACTGGCTCGTAGAATATTCTGCTGGTACTTTTTTATGAAGTTCCTGAGTTGCAGAGAAAAAGACAATCACTCAAACAGGGTTCAAAAAATTTCTATTTTGTAGTGAAGTCTTACGAGATGTATATAATGAAGGAACACAGGACTCTCACAGTGGAAGAAAAATTTAGCTTCTATATAAGCAGAAAAACTGGACATACTAGAGCTTCATCTATCACTCAAAAATAACTTTCTCAATGGTGACAGAAAGTAGGACAGGTATAGTACAGTACTCACTGTTAGACTGGCGTTCAGTAATACCTTACTATATCAATGGAGACAGAAAGTAGGACAGGTATAGTACAGTACTCACTGGTAGGTGGCGTTCAGTAATACTTTACTATATCAATGATGACAGAAAGTAGGACAGGTATAGTACAGTACTCACTGTTAGACTGGCGTTCAGTAATACCTTACTGTGTCAATGGAGACAGAAAGTAGGACAGGTATAGTACAGTACTCACTGTTAGACTGGCGTTCAGTAATACCTTACTATATCAATGGTGACAGAAAGTAGGACAGGATTAGTACATTATTTACTGTTAACCTGGCATCGTAAAGAGAACGTTCGGTTTTAAAACTATTATCTAGAATATCTAAAATCTACTTCATTCACAAAACAAGAGTTATACACACCAAGCCAAACATGTAGATAATCCGTGAAAATTGATTTAAAAATCACACTATTTGGTTAATCTGCACAAACCCAAAGATATTGATAATAACGTTCACTGCAAAATTGAGATAATATGTAATTAACCCCCCCCCCATATAGTATATCTGCACTCGTTACTCATATTGCCAGTTAACATTTTCCCGTTTTACAAACCAATTTGTTTTTATACGTGCAAGTATAGAAAACCACTAGGACGTGATACAAAATTTTGTACTACGGATTTTTCACCACTAGCATCAAATCAGCTTCCCATGTGTGGTTAAAGTTACTAAGGTAGATATTTTTGTTTTTAAGCTATATTTTTGTTCGCATATTTTTGGAAAAAAAGTAACTCAGCTTTGTGATCAAATTATATAAACATGTTAAGGTGTAAATGTAAATAACCAATAACATGATTTATAAACACACTTTTCAAGTTTTTAGAGAAAACCTTTAAGCTAAATTCATCTGAATAGGGTTAAGTTCATTTGGAATAATATCACTATAAAATTAAATAGTAATATGATAGTGACATCTTCCGTCGTTCTTCCCAAACATTTACGGTAGGAGTCCATTCTGTTTGTATCCAGTCGTGTTTTTTTATAGAGTCGGACTATACTATTTTTCTATGTATATTTTAGGAAAGATTCAAACGGGAGTTTCGACACAAATTCCACAGAAGCAGCCATAGGAGACGCCGACAACAGCAGTTCTCGGACCTGGATAACTCAAACACCTTGGTTCTTTCTGTGCGGCAGTCAACCCGAGGATCAAGAAATGGACAAAGTGTCTGTCTTTCCAGTACTTTCTTGCGATTGTTAGATTAATATTTTTTACCAATACTATCTCCCCTCACAAGTTCTTTCCCAAAAAAGTCCCATTTCAGTTGTTTTTAAAGCAGTTGAAAGATTAAATGTCAGGATAGTCTGCCAATGTCTAATAGTGAATGTATATTTAAGTTTGAAGTTTCTTATTTTTCCATTACATATAACAAGTAATCCCTTGCGACTATTTTAAACTGCGATTTTTGTATATATCGTCAAACGTTTTCAGCGTACCTGGCATCTATAATCAGGGAAAATACTACAACGGAAAGTTTTGTTAAAAGTCTATTCTAGTTGTATATATTTCCTATTTTAGAATGAGACAACTTGTTTTTAAAGGGAGACATATAAAACTTCCCATGTAAGAGAAATGCACTTCATGTAAGTAACCCAGTCTCGTTAAATTAAATTGTCTAGGCAACGTGCAGCTGACCTACCGATCAACCGTGTGTTGAAAAAAGTAGCTAAGATATTCCATTCTAACCATCCATGAGTGAAAACAAAGGATAATTTGTTATAATGTACTATGTAAGAGAAATGCACTTCATGTAAGTAACCCAGTCTCGTTAAATTAAATTGTCTAGGCAACGTGCAGCTGACCTACCGATCAACCGTGTGTTGAAAAAAGTAGCTAAGATATTCCATTCTAACCATCCATGAGTGAAAACAAAGGATAATTTGTTATAATGACAACAACAACACTTCTGCCATAGACAGTGCCGACGAGGCCTTTCTCCTAATACCACGCCGAGTGGGATACAAATGACGTAATAATGGTCTAGGCACGAAATATATTATCAATTTTCATGGTGTGAACGAGATTAAGCGAGTGAAGTGTAATTATTATTAATTTTATTTAAGACATTTACAAAACAGAACTTTAGGGTAAGAATTAATATCACAACCTTATTTACTTTAATTTTTACCACAGGTTATTTATTTATATTTATTATTTTTATTTTATTGTTAATTAACCTTACATCATTCATAAGAACTGGCGAAACAATAACCTGATCTTCTTTTCAGTATAGAATTGAATCTTATCTGATTGGCTGCACACTACATGCCATTCATTACGTCAGAGCAAGTCTTGTTTATAAACAGTATAAAACTTTTGAGGAATTAAATAGCTAACGAGTATTCATGTTATTCCATACGAAAGTGTACCGGGCAAGTAGACGAACGCAGTGCCTATGGATTTTTCTTGGGACGGAGCCTTTTCAAATAGAAAATGCGGTGTAGAGCTATTTTCAAGATTAACAGTTGTCAGATAGAGAAGGACCAGAAATGGCGACATGGACTGTAACGACGTGGTTACACTCCAAAACCATTTTAATATTACCTACTCAACTATTTGCATATATTTGTATATGCAAAATTGCACGTCAGAACAAAATCTTGCATATCTTTCTAAAAGAAGTCACCAATAACAAAAAAACATTTTCAGATCATCAATGATTGCATCGTATAAATTCAACAACAATTAACATTTTTTGAATAAGAATGTGTTCCACGTTGTATTTTCTTAATCAAAAGTTTTAATATTTTAATGCAATATGTAGATTTACAGCTACAGAGGCACATTTTATGAATAAATATTTGTTATAATTATCTGTTTTGATTTAATTATCTTCAAAGTAAAATTTACTAATAAGAGCAGATTATAAAAATATATGGATAAGAAGTAAGTTCGATTTATCCCTATTGGAGGTAAGTTGTGACAATTTGCAACATGTCTGTATGTTGATAGAGTTTAATGAAAGTTAATTTTATTATCTTTAAACATACTTGGCCAAAGTCGATTATACACCCGTATTTCTTTTTATATTCCACTAGTAGAGACCAGCAAAACATTTCCGGCCAACAAACTTTCATGCCAAATTTGGTGAAGGTCCATCAACAGGGGGCGAAGTAATGGTAAAAAATGCGAAAACGCAAAAAACACCCATAAAAACCGCAAAACGCAAAACTTAAAATTTGTATGTGTCTCCCATGGACCTAGTGAGCATCCATACCAATTTTGATGAATATCCATCCACACCCTGCGAAGTAGTTATATGAACATACAACATACAGTACTGTTATATTTATATAGATTCATGTTTTCATTTCGCTTTGTCAATTATAAATTTATTTGATATTTTTCATAGAGCACTTCATCAACAAGAAACACATCATCAACCAGGCTCAATGTTCCGCCTCGAAACCACACCACCAGCCTATAGTGGTAGATCTCTGCTCAGAAACAAGAGTTGAACACGTTCTTGGATCAGTTCAGGTCCAAACAGCGTCAACTTTTACTAGTTCTGTTTAGAAGAACGTTCATTCATATTCCAAGCTAAGTGAGAAAACCAATATCTCGTTGTGTAACTTTTCAATTATAACAAAATGTCATTCTCGTCTTCTCTCTTTTTATTCACAAACTGTAAAGATGGATCTAGTAGAATGTGTGGAAATATATATAAATTTGGTGACTGAAGATATGTTTATTGGTTGTGTTCAGAGTTTGGAAAAATAAAATATTTACCATTCAGTATTCTTAACCTGTTTGACTTCATTAATATCCGAACTATAATGCATTAAAATAAATAATATTAAGCAATATAGGATGAAGTACCAAATAATACTTCTGTGAAAAATGTTAAAGATGTTTAGTTTTTCTTTCAAAACTTTCGGTGAGTTAAATATTTAGAAAAGATTTAGTCTTATCAGTTTCTTTGTTTGTGTCTCTCTTCGTCAATTTCTGATGGAAAGATACTAAAGATTTAGTTTATTTACTATTTTCCTTATACTCACTAAATCCTGCTGAAAGAAATGATGGCTAAAGCGGGGGGTAATTATTCACCAATTTACAATGAAAGACAAATGTTAATGCCTCATTCTATTTATGTTGCTGCTTTTCTTTATATTGAATGAGCTAAGGAAGCAGTCTTGTTCTATCTTTTCACTTATCCTTATCAATTTCTGGTAAAAGAAACATGTTGTAAACATTGTCGTGTCTTTTTTATCTATGTTTAACAACTTTTGGTAATGGAAATTATTAAATGCTTTGGTCTATATTTTGTTTCTGGATTTTTTTTAAATTGCTTGTGATGTTTGTTTGTAATTATTCACAAAGCTACACAATAGGCTATTTAAAAGTGAATTTTTTTTGAAAATTTAAAAACCTAAAAGTTCAAATCATGTTCTTTCTTCGTTGTAAAATAATATGTTTTCTAGGGTGCGATTTCTTAGATAAATAAATTAAACAGTGTGAATAATATAATACATTCATTATACCTTTAAGCTCAATTAACATGCAAAATTTATCATACTCTAGCTTACTAAGTTTCGTTATCAATAACTATTCAAGTATACATAATTGCAACTCAGAAACTCATTGGTTTGAAATGATCACACATAGATATTGATGTCTGACAGACAAGTCTAAACGCTGTTTCAGGACTGTTATGCGAAGAAAACTCAGATACCAAAGGGACACGAAAAATCATCAGTAATATTTATTTATAGCAGTATGTGTATGGTGAAATAACTTACTTACTGGCTTCCAATCTACATATCTACTGTCTGGCTGCTGGGGTCGATGGAGGGGACAATAGTATGGTTACTAGAGATAAGTGCTGAAGATCAGAGAGCCCCCCCAAAAAAAATCCAGTTTGGATAGATTGGTTTCCTGGAAGGTTCGTTTACAGATTCATACACGCTAGCTTCAGAATTACGAATCAAGTTTGTTTTATGCAACCTACGCTGTACACAACTGACTAGTGAAGTTAACCCCTCAATCTGTTCATACACGCTAGCTTCAGAATTACGAATCAAGTTTGTTTTATGCAACCTACGCTGTACACAATTGACTAGTGAAGTTAACCTCTCAATCTGTTCATGCACGCTAGCTTCAGAATTACGAATCAAGTTTGTTTTATGCAACCTACGCTACACATCTGACTAGTGAAGTTAACCCCTCAATCTGTTCATACACGCTAGCTTCAGAATTAGGAATCAAGTTTGTTTTATGCAACCTACGCTGTACACATCTGACTAGTGAAGTTAACCCCTCAATCTGTTCATGCACGCTAGCCTCAGAATTAGGAATCAAGTTTGTTTTATGCAACCTATCCTGTACACAACTGACTAGCGAAGTTAACCCCTCAATCTGTGTGGATCTCTTGTTAAACAACAAACTAGCAACGGGCTACAACCCACTTGGTGAAGTTAATAACCAGCACATATTGAATACTTTTTCAAGTTTTGGTGAAAGGAAGACCATCTGTATCCGGGACGATTCTTTCCAGATGGAAACTTACCATTTTCTGAGTTTTTCCTGGTGCAACTGATTCCTGTGGGCAGCATGGTGGTATAGTGCCTTCCATTCCTTATGTTATGAAAAGTCTGAAGCATTTTCTTAGTTATATCACTGTCTAATTATCATGCTTCAGTAATTCATCATAACAGACAATATACCATCAGTTTTAAGTCTACTTTCGTCATGCAGTTCAACTTGCCAGTATCCAGATCTAGTGAATCAATAGACACCTTCTAATGACCAAGATATTCATCTGTGTACAGAGAGGAATGAGATCAATGCACGTTACTACATTCAACCATCTATAGTCACACAAAATTTCGGTATTCCTTCCTTCTTCCTGACAATTATTACTGGATATGACTACGCACTCTCTGGAGGTTCTATTACTCCATCCTTCGACGCCTGCTACATTTCAGTACTAGCTATTTTCCTAATACCTCAAGAAGCCTGGACAGTGGTTGTATTACGGATTTTTATCACCTGTATAATATGATGTTTAAGGGACAAGAATGGGTGTGTTGATACATCTAGGTTGTCCCATCCATTAAAATAAAAAGCAAAACACAGATCTACCCTGCTCTACCTAGACCTGTCCGCAATCACAATCATGGTTTTATGTTATCTCAGAAATTTTCCTTCCATGATAGATAAATTCAAAAAGTTGGTATACCAGAGAGGCAACAGAAAAACCGATTCAGAATATACTCATAATAACAATTCTTTGGTTAAGGCACCAAAATTTTACTTTTTAACTAGTCTATGTTATTTAGATATATACTGATGTCTGAGAAATACGTCTAACATATACACAAAACACAAGTTCATGACTGTTATGTGAAGAAAAATATCAAACTGAGACAGTAAAGGAAAAACAAACAAAAGTGAACAATATCAAACTGGGACAGTAGAGAAAAAACAAACAAAAGTGAACAACAACAAACTGAGACAGTAAAGGAAAAACAAACAAAAGTTAACAATATCAAACTGAGACAGTAGAGAAAAACAAACAAAAGTTAACAATATCAAACTGAGACAGTAAAGGAAAAACAAACAATAGTTAACAATATCAAACTGAGACAGTAAAGGAAAAACAAACAAAAGGGAACAACAACAAACTGGGACAGTAGAGAAAAACAAACAAAAGTGAACAATATCAAACTGGGAGAGTAGAGAAAAACAAACAATAGTTAACAATATCAAACTGAGACAGTAATGGAAAACAAACAAAAATGAACAAGTTAACATAATCTTCATTGACATGTGTATGTTGAAATAACGTATTCGTCATCTTCCAATCTATGATACTGTTATTTGGCTGCTGAGATCAAAGACAGAAACAAGAGCTGGGTAACAGAGACTAGAGATGAAAATAAGAGAATCCACAAACAAGAGAGAGCAAAAAAAGTGTGGAAATTGCATAGGTTTATAATGAGACTGAAACTTGAGTGTGATATCATATAGTAATTAGATTACACACTTCGACCATTAGTCTCTATACTCTTCTAGTCATCCAAAGGTAGTCTCAATCATCTGTTTGAGGCCCTTTCAGCTTGAGACTCTATGAATCAATGTTGTTTTTTGTAACCTTCTCTGGATAAAAATATTAGTACATATTATGACCAATCACCACTGATGTAATTAACTAAATGTAGAAACTTCAGAAAAATTGCTGTTGTTTTTAACTACACAACGGGCTATCTTCCCTCAGTCCATCAAGGGACATCGAATCCAGATTTTGGCGTTGTAAGTCCATAAACTTATCGTTGACTCTCTCGCCGGTGGGACGTATCTGAATATACCTTCATAAAGATATATTTCTTTGTAGTTATGGAAGGGTGAGATTAGCAGCTATTTCAGTTAATTTTTACAGAAGTAAGAAATCCGCAGAAACATTTGTGTTCACTAACATAAGTCAACAATATACTAGAACTGTTAAAAAGATCGTAATGTTGCTAATAGAAGACTCTATAAATATTCACCACTAACAATAGTCTTACAAAGATAACTGAAATCAAATTTTTTGACTGTTTGTGCTTTAAAATCCGTAACTTTCTCTTTGCATTCAATGGACTTACTAGTTAACAGATTAACACCATCAAATGTTTTCGTCAATTTTTGTTTCACCTGTTTTCACCATTTTCTGAGGGAAAGAAAGATGTTAAATATTTTATCCGACTAGTTTTCAGTATTTCTTCCACATATAGTGAAAAAAAAACATTAGGAGAGAAAAAATGAGCAAATTTATTGATCTTTATGCTCTGAAAGTGCAGAGTAATTAGTGCAGTTTATTCACTATTTCTTTAAGTAGCTTTACACGCCAGAACAGGCTTGATCTTCTAAGCAGTTTTGGTTACGTGATGCTAGTAATATCATCAAGTAGATTTATTTTAGAAGGTTTAAAATTGTCGTGAAACCAGAAATAAAATTCTGCCAACTCGTTATAACACTTCTTAATATTGAAAATATCCGCATTTAATATGTTACAAGAGCGATAACGATTAAATTTGAACAAAACAACAAAAATATACTTTAGTTTGAATGTAATTTAAGAAACGTGTTAAGAGTATGACAAAAAGGCTGAAAATCATGTTAAATTATTGAGTCATTAAAATTAGCTTACGAGGATTTAGAATAAATTAAAATAAATAAACCAGCGAATTTCTTTAAGCTGAACAGTGTTTACAACTTTTTAGAAATTAAAAAGCAGTTATTTTTACAAAATTTTATTTTGAAGTCGTTATTACCAAGCATTTAATCGTTTTTGATAATGGAAACTGAATATTTACCTAACAATTGGAACTTTCATTTCGTCGAACTATAAATGATAAGTGTGCAGGCATACTATGTATTTTCTTCTACCTTTATTTAATTCTAGGACACATTTTTTCCACAATATTCGTACTTATAAGATATGTGGTCTTAACATAGAACACTGGTAAAGGAAATAGCTAAGCTCCCTTCTCCCTTCTCCTTTCTCACACGTGGTACAACATGCCCCTTCTCAATGATATAATTTTGTAAAGTTTAACACCCTATGTAAAATTAGACAGCAACCTTTTCTATTGTCGGATCAAGTGATAAGGTTACGAGTTTCTTATTTTTCAATGTGAATGACTAATAATAACGTGGACAGTGCAAACACAC